CCATGGCACAAGGTACAACTCATGGAACCATTGAAACAACTCATGGAACCACTGATAGGCTAACATTAATCCTGCCAACTCAAAGTGCAACCTTGAGTTGCTAATGCACCTCACTCATGAGCCCAAGCTCAAACTTGTGCTAATGTGCCTCACTCACAAGCCCAAGCGCAAACTCATGCGAATGGAACAACAATCCCTCTAGTGAGCCCAAGAGCAAGCTCATGCAATATGGTACGAAAGGTAACCAAAATCCATACCCAAAAAACGAATGCGAAGCCCTTACACCCAAACATGTACCCACTCGGATTATCATTTTCATCTCTACGTATGCAACGAGACTAGTTGCCCAGTCTCATTGGATAAAACTCACCGAGACTCACTCTCTGATACCAAATGTAGCGCACGTGGTTTTGACCCTTTATCCTATGGTGATTTACCATAGGATAACACCACGAAGCAGAACCTTAACCCTTTTTATGCCACGTGACACATGCCATGTGTTATATGCCATGTGTCCAAAGGACAGTGGTGCAAAACCCGAGGTTCATGGCCTTGGGCCACTAAACAAAGGAACAATGCCAAACTCCTAAGCATGGAGCCAAGGAGTGACGGAACCAGACTACAGAGCAACTTTCCATGTTAGCTAGTGGAGTACCCATATCCTCACTTTAGGCCACCGGTATGTTGAAATAGCAGTAGACTCTGTTTGGCTCTGTTTTGCGTGTTGGTCTTGGTATTGGAATACAATCTCTATATTCCGTAAATATGCCAAATGAGCAAATCTAGACACTTTTCATAAATAACATTTGGGACCGAATTGAGACTAATGCTAAGGGCATGATAGCGAGGGTGTTTGGCAGACATGGTAAGCTATCATTTAGCAAATATTGAGGGACCAAGTTCAATATCGCGGGGGTTCCCAACACTAGCAAGTGCAAGTCAACGAATGAGTTTCTCTAACCAGGTCAAGTATGTTTAACTAAATACACACTTAGGAATTCCTTCCTTATGCTCATTTGGTCAAGTGCACACATGAAGACCAGTTTCTCAACTAGCTTAGACGAAGATTGATAACAGGTCCAGCAATACTGACCTTCTGCCGTCGTAGCAGTAAAGAAAGAGAGTCCGTAAGGACTGACCGATAAGTAACTTTTGATAACCGAAGTCACATTCGCGACAAATAGAATTATCTTTGGAAATAAAGAAAGTAAAGGTGTCTTTACTAAAAGCCAATACTTATAGGTATGTAATACCTATGGGTGTGCTATGGAATTTGAAAATTTTGATTGACTGACTTTGTCCTTGGATTGGTCAAATTGCATGTTTAGCTAAATTGGAAGGAGGATCTAGAGCATCTTGACTTGGCTATAGAGAATAAAATCAATGACTTTAATACAAGCTCAAAATAGAGAAAAGTTGATGGATAAATAAATAAACATTGTCATTCACAAATAAAAAATATTTTAAGTATTTAATTTGTGTTTTATGGTCAAAGTGTACAGTTATGATGCCATATACTAATATTAATGTAGTGAATTGATTTCAATTTGGACCATTTGCTTTTGTATATAAACTAAGGTTTTTGGGCTAATTAATATGCACATTTCTATATTCCAATCTATCTTCTATGCACTCACATTGGTGGAAGGGGCAATTTTGATTGTCCTTGAGGAGTGCTTGGATTTAGGATTTTATTTAAATTGAGCTTTTCTTATAGCTTTTTCAATTTATTTTTTTTTGCTTTTTTTTTTCTTTTTATTCATCTTTATGATAGAGCAATAGCCTCTTCCTTTTTTGACTCTAGAGCAGCAATTAGTGTGATTGCTCAATGCTATGAAATTGTAGTTGAACAATCAAATTTAGTTGATAGTGGCATTTATAGCATATGGTATAACTCCTCATGCTTTTACTACCAATTCTCATATCCATCCAATCCATCCATCTGAGGACAATCAATCACCAAGCACACTAGCTCCATTACAATTACAATAGCAATTGTCTTTGGAAATAAAGAAAGTAAAGGTGTCTATACTTACTTGTAGGTAGGTAACACCTATGTGTGGAATTTGAAGATTTTGATCTTGTCTACTTGATTGATTTAGTTGTTATTGCACACCCAATTCTTGGCAAGCTAAAAAGTACAAAATAAACAGTGGTATTAACCTAACTTGATTAGAGTGTCAAATTGAAGTGTTTGACATGTTTTGAATTTTTAAATTTCAACCATTAGATCAAAAGCATAATCCTAAGTAATATTCTAGAAAAAGAATATATGACACCTAGATGCTAGATATGAAAAGTAGATTTAGATAAGGGAGTATGATATTACGTATTATGACATAAATGATAAATTGTTATTAAAATTTATTCAATATGCTAGTATTTTTATACCAGTTATATAAATTCTTCTATTATCAAGATCTAAAATATTTTATACTTAAATTTACAAATTGATCAGTAATTTAGGAAAAAATAATGGATTTGTAAAAGAAATCATTAAATTTCTACAAACAAGGATTGAATACTTTTTTCACCTTGCTAGATATATAGATTTAGTTGTTCTTATAACCACATTGCTTGAACGTGTCCAAATTGTAATAGAGATTGCTCACCAGGCAAGAAATAGAGAAAGTTGATGTGAGAATCCAAAGGAAATGTTGAATGGTTTTAAAGCACATACTTAGATTTCAATTTAGAGATTATTCCTGTGAGCATAAGAAGATGTGAATTTTTAATTAAGAATTCTTATAGACATTGCATTTACATCTTTCAACATCCAGCATAGAAAAGTTTAATACTGAGCTCCACTAGACCCTAACATGATCCCTCAACTTCAAATTTGCAATTGCCCATAAGGAAGCCTCAATGCAAAAAAAAATATATTTTTATCCATTGAAATTTAAAACACTACAAGAAATTATAAGAATATTTATAATTTATAAACAGAAGATTAATATCAAAACCATTAGATTGTAAAATATGCTAGAGCTTAAGAACTTTTATAAGTTTTAAATATGTATATAATAAACATAAGAATATACTAGAATACCCAAGAATATTCCAAGTATATCCATTATCATTTACATAATCACACAATAGTTAAATTCAAAATTGTTTGAAATAAAGTAATATTTATGCTAGTTTAACTTAAATTCGTAAAATCGAGAATTAATTACAGGTGGAATAACACCATAATACCCTTCTTTAGAAGTATGATTCTCTAATGTGTTGGCTTCCTCTCGTTGGACCCTTCTTCCAAGACAGTGTGAGCATGCCGACCATGGACACACGTCTCAATCCATACTAGGTAAGATTTCTTTTCAAGAAAAGATAGATTTTGAAATCTGGAAGACTGGTGAAAATCTAGGCCAACACCTGACCGACTACTTAAACCAGGAGACTTAAGTACAAAGCATGGATGTTTTGCATTTAAGTGTAGTTCCCAGGTCCTTCTAATGCTAGCTAGACCGCCTGTCCCCTGACCGCCTGAGAATGCGTAGAGCTCATGTTGTCTGTGCACTCTTTCTCTTTCTCTAGACTCACTCTCTGTTCAGCAGCGCCAAATCAATCGAGGATATATAAAGACTTCCAGTCTCGAGTGTTTCTTACGCCTCTTGTAGTTTAAGCTCTACATTCTTCTCGTCTCCTCGATAGAAAGCTCTAGTTAGATCAGGATCAGAAGCAAAACAAGGGAAAGAGAGAGAGAGAAAGGAAATGTACAAGTCTTCAGGGAAGAAGAGCAAGGGGTCGCCGAAGAGTTACTTCTCAGACGTAAGTTACAGCGACGAAGAACTGGAAGAGTATGATTCATCCAGCCTCCAGTCACCGGATTACTACTCCACTGGTAACAACAAGGGGAGTTACTACTCGTCCCATCAGCCCGGCCACGCCCAAAACCACAGCCGCCATGGTAAATCCGGCAAGAATTACTACTCCCCGGCCGCCGTCGCTGTTGCTGCTGCTGCTGCTGCAAACAACGGCAAGTCTGTCTACTACTCCACTCCCAAATCTTCGGACTATTATCGCAACACCAACAACTTATACTCCCTCCATGGGAAGCACAAGGGCGGCAAGGTGGAGCCAGCCTACAAAATGAACAAGTATCAGGTACAGAATGGAAGTCTCTGCTCTTGCTAGACAGCAGCTTCCTCATCTTTCCGTTGCTCCTTTGTGATTTTATACTTTTCTCGCAGACCATTGTTCTCAAGGTTCAGATCCACTGTGATGCTTGCATACGAAAGGTGAAGAAGGCCATTGCAGACATTGACGGTATATGTTCAAAGATCTTTTATCGTGATCCAGCCCGGACTGATTCAAAACCGTTCAAACAGGTGTTGACTCCATCTCCGTTGACCAAAAGCAAAAGAAGGTGTCCGTGACGGGCTACATCGACCCCAAGAAGGTGCTCAAGAAGGTCTCCAAGACGGGCAAGAGCGTGGAGCTTGTGGGATCCAAAGATTCGTCCGGAATCAGCCACATGAGCGGCGGCAACAGCAACAACAGCAAGCCGGCCCTGATCATCGCGGATCATCACGTCGCCACGACCAAGCCGTACACCATCCAGGTCGACAAGAGGTCGCAGCAAAACACCGCTCATATGGCTCCGTACATCCATCGCGTGACACCCCAAGTTCGCAGCGACATGGACTACATGTTTAGCGACGACAATGCAAACAGTTGCTCTATCATGTAAGCTCTTTGGCTCATTTCTTCTTTTTTTTCCCTCTTGATGATCTCCTTGAGAGATTAGCATTAGATTCGTTTGGTTATGTTTCTTTCCATTGTACGATAACATCATCACGGTTTTCGTTTGAAATCCTTGCGTGCCGGCACTTGAGTTTGATCCCTCTCAAACGGGAAGATTTTTCCGGGTGTGGATTGTTCTCTTTTTTTTTACGGTTTTGGTTCCCCGAGGGATGCTGGATTCGCGGGTGCGAATAAAAATTCCATGCCACGCCACGAATTGACATCTGCTCGATCGATCAGGGAAGTAGGATTTTAAAAACAAAGGCTAAAGCAAGGATGTTTTTATAACCCAAAAGTTACATGATGCAGCAGCCGTTTACGTTCTCATCGCTGAACATGAAGCTGCTGTTGCTGTTGCTGTTGATGGCTTCGGCAGGCGAGAATTGCAGGGAGAAAAGTGGAGCGTTTGCTCCTGTGGCGCTGGAATCCATCGGGAAAACCATGAGAGGCTTCTGATCGATCATGCCGTTGTTGTTGGTGGTGGTGGTGTTTTTGCTGCTGCTTCCATCTTTGGTGGTGATGAGCTCCACCTGTTTTCCAGTCTTGGCCACCCTCTTGAGGAGCTTTTGCTGATCAAAGTGACCCGTAACAGTGATCCTCTTCTGCTTCAAGTCGACAGAAATCGATTCAACTCCTACAATTTTCACAAAGGAGGGATTTTTATAGACTGAAAGATTCTAATGGAAAATGAGATCCTTACCTTCAATGCTGGCAATTGCCTTCTTCACTTTCCCCATGCACGCATCGCAATGGACTTGAACCTTGAACACAAGAGTCTGGAACTGTAAAAAAAAAAAAACAAAGAGAAAAAACACAGCGAAGCTTTTGTGTGAGTTTCCTGGGCTTCTTCGTTTTGAAAAGAAACATTAAATTTTTTCACAAAACTCCTTCTAGATTCTGGGGCGTTCCCTCAGGAGAAAGAAAAGGTAAAAAGAAATGGAATGAAAGCTCATGCACACGCACCTGAAACTTTGGCTGCTTTGCCGTGTGCTGCTCGCCTTTGGTCGTGGCATTTGCTGAGCGCTGGTACTTGGCAGGAGACGATGAGTCCGTGCTGCGTTTGCCCCTGGAAACATTCCAAAGATTTACACTCGATTTGATCGATTCACAGCATATAAAAGAAAGACAAAAAAAGAACAGAACAAATCCATTTTGACTGTTCAAAACTATACTTGCCTGAATGGGGACGAAGAGAGCCACGAGGAGCCAAACCCAGGCATTGTTTTCTCTTGTTCTCCTTTTTCTTTTTCTACTTTTCTCGACCTGGAAACTCTGATCCCTTTCCAGAAACCCAGTATGGTTTTGGAACCAAGCAAGAAAAATTCCAAGAAAGGACCTGGATCAGATCAGAATCAACACTGGCGAGGCCTCCACTGCATTGTTGACAGACAGAGAGGAATTTTAATTCTTTTTTTTTATCTTGCTCGCTCTTCTCTAGGCCTATCTCCCTCTGCCTAGCTAGCAAACAAACAGAGACCAACTTTCTCCTATCGAGGTTCTAGGGAAAAAGAAGAACCACACTGCCCGAGACAGAGCCAGAGATATTGACGAGAAAAGTGTGTGGGGGTGTGTGCTTTTCGAGTCAGGAGAGGTACAGGCCTAGGAATCACAGCAGTGACTCTCATATAGCTACACAGGCTTGAAAGTTAATTAAAACTCCCATTTGTGATACCGTATACAATTAAATGAAGTTTTTAAATTTCCTGTTTGAAGAATAAACCACATGAACAATGAAGGTGGCAAAGTTGGCCAGGAGGACGTGAACTCAACAAGCAAAAAAATCAAGGGGCTGTTCTTCAACTGATTAGAATTTCTTAATGTATAAGTTTTTAAATTTCCAATCAAAATTATTTTTCCTCATGGCATATGCTTAGTGTGGGCTATCTCCAAAAAAAATTTTAACGTGGAAATTCATATATATTTAAGCGAGAAAAACAGTACAAAAATATAAAGCTTAACCATTCAAAACCATAGTCAAACACTCTATAACCACTTGAGTTTTAAGGAAACTAGGAACAGATAACAAAAGGTTTAGTTTTGGCCACAATGGATCAATATTGGGGCTGGCTGTTGCCTCTCTCGTCCACATAGTTATTGTGAGTACACAAAATCAGTTAAGAATCAATGAGTAGAGGTAGTTATTTGTAAGGAAGCTCTAGTGCCAGACTAGAATTTTCTCCCCGGGCTCAAGATCTAGCTCAAAGTCTTGTTGAAAAGATTGGAAGAAGATGTTTGTTCTATATTCTTGCATAGTTGTTTCTAATCCTTGCTTGTAAAGGTTCTTTGAAACTTTCCTTACAGCAAGTCCAACTTATTTGTCCATTTCCCTCTCCAATTTTTGTGCTTTTTTTTTTCTATTGCTGCTTGTTCTGCCTTAAGTTGCCTCAATATTGCCTTCTCCCATCAGCTTTTCTCAGCTTCTTCCATTGTATAGTTTACATCCATAGCAACTGTAGCACTTAGCAACAGTTCCAAATCATCATCGCTATTGTCATTTACACTTATGTCAAATGTAAGTCTCTTCATCTTCATCTTTTTAAAGTTTCTTACCTGTGTCTTGTAGAGCTGCATCCATGTGAAATTTAGCATCTATAACTGCACAATCAATAGGCCAGAGTCTGGTTTTTTTAAAGCCAACAATGGTGTTTGCAGAAGTTAGAGCCTTGTCAAGTGCTCTTCTCACCACTCTTGCTAAGATCTTTGTTAGAGTGTGTCCATGAAATCCTGTCTCTATACATTCAGTATGGATGGCTTTGAACTCTGCCTTGAAAGGTCCAAAGTAGCACACATCAAGAGGTTGCATATGATGTGAAGTATGATAAGAGCCATGACCATCCATCATAATGCAAGCTTGATTTGTTGGAGAAATGCCACCTGGGATGACTCTTGCAAAGTGTTCAAGGAAGCAAATAAGCCCATTATTTCTCATCCATGCATTGGTTTGTACTTGCATGGATGTTCCAAGCTCACAGAACTCCAACCAACCTACTGCTTGATTATGCCCTCGGAATATGCAGTGATTTGGAAGCTTCTGGCCATTTGCAGCAATAGCACAAATGACTATTATCCTTTGACACTCATTTGGAACAACACTAAAAATTGTGCATGCTTGCTTGTTGAATACCGCATGACAACCTAGATCTTTGTTTTGCAGATATCCTAGTTTCATCAACATTGAAAATTCAACTAGGTGAATAGTTCTTTTCCGCTATCAATGCTTGCCACCTTGCATAGAAAGGCTTGACAACTGCTGGTGTGATTGCAGATACTCAAGCATACCCCAAAGACTATGGAGAACACAAACTTAATTGAGGTTAACACTTTTTAAATCCATGCCACCAACCAACCACTTGCTTGATGTTGCATAATCTAATATACAATGGCATCCTCTTCCTCATCTGTAAAGATCCTGTTGCTACCACCTTTTTGCTTTGTACTTCATCAAGCCAATTGTGTAGTGTTGTCACACCAAACTCTCAAGCAGATTCTTGAATTGATTTGGAGCCTTCATCAACAACAACTATAGCTTTATCGATGTCTATGGTTGTCTAAAGGTTTGTAGCTTTCTTCTTTTTAGGTGGGAGCTTGTCATCAAAAGGCAAGAGAGGAAAATTATGAACAGGAGATAAATCAAGCTCAAGTGTGTCCTCTTCTATAGGAATGCTCCCTATAGCCTCTAACAAAGATGCAAAAATTTCATGCATAGGTACAGTAAAAGTGTAAGAAACTTTTTTTTGTGATGTGGATTGATGAGCCACTCTTTGGTAAGTTGGAGCTGAACGTGCTTGTAGCTGAGCTGCTATATGAGTTGTCTTTGTTCTCAGAGGTAAGGCTGTTGCTTGAGTTAGATTTTTCTTTTTTCTTGGTGCCTAGTAAGCACAATATCCAAACAACATAATAAACTTTTCCCTCCTACAAAGATTAAGCGCTAAAACTTTTGAATGCAAAGTTTTGTGTTTAATGTTGGTAGCTAGCATTCTTCTTTTTGAATTTCCCTCCTTAACAAAAGTCTTTATCAATTTATAAAAAACAATTAATCAATTGCTACATAAGAGTCAATGGCAAACGTTCTATGCTAAAAATATAGATGTGTCACAAGTTCTTTGATGAAGTGATGATTGTATAGCAAACATTTCTTGATCCTGGGAACAATATAGTGAAGAGCCCATATATCAAAAAGAGATTTAAGCATGTAAACTATACTGATTTAGAAGATTCATCTCCACTCTCAAATCCTTAGAATTGATCAAGGAATCATCACTAATATACTCCAATAGCATAGCAACTTGATTAGAGCATTGTAAGATGTGAGTCAATCAAGTGTAAAATAGGGATGTGGTTTTGGTCAGTCTTTGTTTCTTGTATGGTTGGATGTAAATATTTAAAAGTTTTTATTGATTACACCAAGAAACATTTAAGGATTTCCAGCTCATTCAACTAAGGTTTGAAGTGATCTAGGCTTTAGAGTTATAAAAACAATTAAATGTGACTAGTAAACTTGGTTGGTGCCACATTAACTAGTTGGATGCCCAATCAGATAGAATATTACATCAGTTGGAGAGCACCCCCCTTTATGGTCTACTTCACCATTGCAAGAGATTTATAATTTTCTTTGAAGTTTCATGTCATCTTCATGTAGCTTGTCACAAGTCATGCCTCCAAATGAATTACTAAAATTTTCTTTTGGGTACTAACAAATGCCGATGGCTAAAGATGATATTTCTAAGAATGTTTTTTGTACATTATTTAGTTTATACAAGTTCTTGGTGATGTCGTTTAGTTTAAATAATGTTTTAGTAACATTTCAGTAGGATGAAGTTCTTTATGATATGCCAAGGTGACTGTTGACTTCATTGAAGATGTTTTGATCCACTTAGAGGGGACGTGGGAATGCATCTTTGCATCTAAGAACACAGCTTGAATAATGTATAGTGCTTGGGCAAGGTGCAATATTTCAATTGTTTTGTTAATTCTTTCTGATTGTATTGCACCATTGCGAGTATTACTGAAGTCATCAACATTATCTTTCATATGGTTTAAAGATTGCAAATAGGCAATTATAGATCTCAAAGAGCTTATTGATGACTTATTTAATTTTGGCATATCCTAATTACACTCAACCTTTCATTTTATATATAGATGCTTCTTATATCGGTTTTAGGGTGTATGGATGCAAGAAAGCATGAGTGTGCCTTAGTGTCATCCCATTATATACATTAGTTATACATTACAATTAACGGAGATAAGCTATTCCACAATAGAGAAAGAGTGTTTAGCAATGGTTTGGGGTTTCGAGATGCATATTTATATGGTTCTCAAACATTACTATAAAGTGATTATGTTGTAGTTCCTTTGTTATTAAATTGAAGAACTTGGTTGGTCATACTACTTAGTGGGCTTTAAAGCTTCAGATATATAATTTTGAGGTTGTTCATCACTATAAGAGTTCTATAATTTATGCTAATGCCTTTTTTTGAGCTTTTTTTCCTTCTTCACTCTTTTCTTTTATTCTTGTTGACCCTAATATTCTAGTATTTGTGGATTTTCTGAAGAGGATTCCATGTCGTCAATAGTTGTTATACTTGATGTTTAGTGTCCACAAGGTGCACCACAAAATTTAGCTTCTTTTTATAAGGTTTGTGAAGCTCAAAAGTTTGAGCCATGGATTTGAAAGCTTTATGATATGTTTGAAAATTCTACATCATTTATTAATGACTTATTATTTTAGCATTTACATTCTCAATATCACATTGAGGATGGCCTTCTTTATTATACCATGATTCTCCTATTTTATGCAGGCATATAGGGCATCATTATATGCCTAAGAAGCTGCACAGGTCTTTTTATTTTTATCCCATTTGTATATGGCCTAAGTGTACACTCTATTTAAACAAGTGGAAGAATGCTCGTCAAATATTAATTCCAAGACTTAGCATCAGCAGCTTATAGCAATTGCGAAGGTAAATGTGAGACACAAAATCCCTAGGCCCCAAAGTGGAGCCAGAGGGGCGCCACGTGGTAGTGGCCGAAGCAAAAGCCAAACGAGCGTAACACGTTTGGACTAAAAGCTCTGCCTTGAAAGGTCGAGAGCGGGAGTGGAACTCCTAACGAAGTGCTCGAGGAACAAGCACAAAGAGAGCAATAAGCGAGGCTCCAAAAAGGGACCCAAAAGGACCAACACATGACACGTGGAAGTGTCCGAGATGGACCCAAGTTGGAGTCCGAAGTGGAGTCCGAGAAGGACCCCGAGATGGAGTCCGAGGTGGAGTCCAAGGTGGACCCGAGA